AGTGTCCAGGTCTTCTTCTCCAGCTCCGGTGTTTTGATTTGCATGATCTTTGTCTTGATGTGTGGAGGACCATTCTTGCTTGCTTGATGTTGAAATTTTGGAGAATTGCTTTGAAATGGTTGAAAATTTACATACTTGAGATAGTTTTCTCCCAATGCTTGTTTGAAATATTGGTACCTCTTTAGTGAAAAAGAGCTTGATGTTTGTAGGTATCATTTCTGAAAACCCTCACGAGACTTCACTTGTCCACTAGGGGTAACCTAGGGGTTTAAAAGGCTGGTTGCATATGCTAAATGCAATCATGTTCCCTACGAAAGTGGCGTTATCCATTTATTGCTTTCTAGTTTATAGTTGTTTAGTTGTTCATTTCTTTTCTTACTTCATATTTCATTGCTAGGGACTATCAATATTTAAGTTTGGGGGTGTGATAAGGGCTGAAAAGTGCGCATTTACCCTTAATATTGAATGTTATATAACCTTTATCTATCTAATTTTCCCATTTTAGTCTAATTTCGTATTATTCCCCTTTTCAGGCACTTATCTCCAAAACATGTCAAATCAGCTGAATTAGAGCATTGGAGAAAGCAATCTAAAGTCAGTGAAAAAAAGGAGCAAAGTGAAAGCAAAGTGGTGAAAAAGTCCTCTCCGATCGATCAAACCAAGCTATGATTGATCGCATTGCGATCGTTCCAACCATGCCATGATGGATTGAGCTCCTTGTCCTTATCTTCAGGAAAATTTCCTATTCGATCGATCCAACCTTTCATTCGATCGATCGAACCTTTTGATCTTATCCTCATAACCACTTTTGTCCTTTTCCTATAAATATCTCAGCCTTTGTCCTTATCCAAATAATTGTGCTGCCTTACTTCGATCGATCAAAGCAACCATGTGATCAATCGAACTGCCTCAAAATGCGTGCAAAACAGATTTCAAGCTGAATTAAAGGTGTGCTCGTGGTGCAATCATTTGAAGGTCCTAGTGCACGAGGTCTGACCATTGGGTGTGACATTTGAGCTACCTATATAAGGAATTTGGCTATTTTTAGCAAAGAGGTTGGTTAGTTACAAAGGAATTGGCTAAAGATTAGAGGGAGAAAAATACATTTTGGAAAAGTTCTTCCATTCTTCTAGGGTTTCCACCAAGAACACCAAAGGAAGAGGATGAATTCAACCATAGAGAAAGCCCTTGAGGTTTGGATGACACCAATCATAAGTGGCTAGACTATTCTCTTGGGGCTAGAGATAGCCCTAAGCATGCCTCCTAGACTTTGATGATTGTAATTAATGGGGATTTGTGTTGTAACTCTTGTTTTGACCTCTTATATATATAAATCTTGTTTCTACATGATTTGTGTAGTTTAATGCTTCTAATTGATCTTTTAATTCTATTCATATGTCTATGTATGTTAGAATGAATGGTCATGTGCTTTACACTTGATTCTTTACATCTGATGCATGTCTATGTGTATTACAATGTTTGGTCTAGTGTGGTTCAAGGCATGGTGCTTAATAGATTACTCTTGTGGTTTATTTGATGGTTCATACTTATTTCTTGATGGATTGTGCCACCTTCTTAGTTTAATTTTCATGTCATTAGCATAGTTGTAGCTTAATTGCTTTAATTTCCTATATAGGTGGACATTCCATTCTTCTTGTTTGATGATCCATGCTTATGAGTACAAGTCGTATTTCTCTAGATTCTTGAGTGTGCATTGATTGTGGACTTATGGAAGAATTAATGACTTAATTTGATATGTTGTGCTATTCACTAAATTGATTAGACAATGTATGCTTACTTGGCCATCCAAGTTTAATGTTTCAATCAATTGCACACACTTTGTTTACAACACATAATCCCCCTAATTTATCAAATGTTGAATGTCTAGGAAGGCAATGCTTAGTGGTAAACTCTATGTCCGAAAAACCCTCTCTCATTCTCTACATCTCACTTGTTTTACATTGCACTACTTTAGTTTACATTGTAGTATAATTAAACCAACAATACCCTCTTTTGATCATTCGACCTACTAATCCGACATTGATTCCGGAATACCTTCCTCATTCCCTTGGGACGATCCCCACTCACTCTTGCTACTTTAGTAGTTAGTAGTGGTAGTGTCATTTTACAAATTTAAACTTTGCCACATTTTATCACAATTCGAGCTTTGGGTTTGACACACCAATTCCCATCAAAAAACTCGGCACTAAAGAGAGATGCCTGAACCTGCGCTCTGAAACACTCTGACAGCACATATCATGTCGAAAACTCTTCCCTCTTTCACCCAGCCCAGTATTTCTTGTACTAAACTTCACCCAATTACTCTTCTCTGTCATCGACCAATGTCTACCCTCAGACCCATTTTGCAGCGAAGGTGCCAATATCCTCTTATCTCTCTGTGAGGCTGTAAACACTTTATCATTCACAACTTTCCTATCTCTAGCCTTCGTAACAGCATCAGAGGTGGATAGCCCAAGTAAAGAAATGGATAACCCTTGATTATCAAATCCCCACTGGACCACCCTCTTACTGGCTTGAGGATCTTCAAGACCAATCTGGCCCAACCGTCCATTAAACTTAAGCCTATTAGGCCCAAGACCAGCATCACATACTAAGGAAGTATCCACTGGCCCAGCAAACCACGCTTGTCTATGGGCTGCCCCAGGCCCAAAGCCTTGTTGTGGACACGCCCCTCTTCTACCAATAAAATTAGATGAGCTAGGCCCATACCCCAACCTATCACCAACAAAAATATCCTGCTGACTCCTATCTCCGCTGATACACCCACGTGGCCTTACACGTGTACCCTCTCTCTCATCCCCAGTCGCTCACCGTGACGTGAATTTGACGCGTCTCTGTCCTTGGCCTGAAACATGGATGTGTTGCTCCGTTCCATCCAGACGGCGCTTTCCTCCCCTCATCTCCTTATCCTGACAAAGATCCGCACCAGGTCGTCCAACTAACATCTTCGGAAGAACACATGGAGTTGCTACTTCTATCAGTACAACCTTGAAAGCCACTTGTTGATCCTCAACGAACACCGCCTCCGATATCACACCACAGTTGGAGACGAGAATGACAACTCTATCTCCGTCAGCCAAGATATCTGCCTCCACTTCGCTAAATCCGCCGCACAGATCTCCTATGGCTTTAAAGAGCTTGTGACACCATAGATGTAAAGGAAGCCAGTAAATCACCACTCTTCTTTTCCTGTACCTCAACCTCACTGTCAAGCATCCAACCGCGAAATATCACATATCCATTGACAACCAAGCATCACCCCACATCTTCTTTCCATAAACTAGAGCCCTGCGTGCCTCGGATTCCGATGGAAACCTAAACAGAAGAAGACCATCCGGCAAAGATGTCACCCTCACCCCACAAGAAATCATCCACGTCTTTGATGCCCACTCCTCAATCCTTTCGATACAACCTACATCTTTATTGAATCGTCCAACCAAACACGATTTCAGCATGTCCTCCCGAACCAACATACTATGAGCATCAACCCTAAAAACATGACCCTCGCTGGATCGGAAGAAATCAATCTCACCATTTGTCACGAGGCAAGGCAATTAAGCCGTATCCAGAAAAGACTTACCCCACCTCATCATCTAAACATCTAAATATAATAATATCCTCGATCTGTGTGCCCTTACAGATCAGAACTCCAAATCACCATAAAATCGCCTAAAATCGCCTTTTCACTGTAGCCTCTAAAAATCCCAACCTAAGTCCAAAATGCATTTATATCACTTTTGTAATAAAAATAAAGAAAAAGTGAATAAAATAGAATATAGCAAACATGTATACATTAATTTTTTTCCTAACTATGGTTCACATTACCCGACAACCTTGACATTGCTAAAACAATAGTGGCAAAGATTAAACAAGGCAATAAATTTTTGGAGTGTCAAAGATTTTGATTCTTTTGAATGGCACTTTACGACACCCAATACAATTGTATGAGGAAGTGGCTTCTTAGCTTTGTTATATAGCCAGGTGGTGGAGGGGGAGGGGATGAATGAGATGGTTTAGATGGGCTCCTCGAGAGGAGTGTTTTGTGTCCAATCGTTTTACCCGAGTCTTTTGAGGATTCAGGGGCCTTCTTTTTCTTGGAAAGCCATTTTTTGATCTTAAGCTCCCTTAAAGGTGGCTTTTTTGCTTGGTGAGCTGTCCTTGGGAGTATCCTCACTTTAAACAATTTGAGTAAAAGGCACCACATTGTGGTGAATCGGTGTTGCACGTGCAAGAAGGCGGAGGAGTCAGTGAATCACCTTCTTCTTCATTGTCCACTGGCGAGGGATGTACGGCCTATATTTTTTTCTTTCTTCGATATGCATTGGGTGTCTCCCATTTCCATGGTGGGCACCATTGAGGCTTGGAGAGGGTATACACTAGATAGCTAAGCCAGAGATGCTTTGAGGGTCACTCCCCTTTGTTTATGATGGGGCATGTGGCGTGAGTAAAATAGGAGGTCCTACGATGAAAATAGGTTTCTCAAATACATAATACTGAGTTCTTTATTCTTCCGGGCAAATGAGCGAAATTGTAAATACGTTGCTAGTCTAAAATAATAGTTGGCCGGCTTTTAGTCGATTCTCTTGGGAGCGCTCCCCTCTCGAGGGCCGAAGACTCTTACTTATCAAAAATAAATAAATCTCAAGAAGCTGCACCTTTCAAACTACAAAATTAAAGTAATCAAAAGTAATATTTTGCCCAAGTCACTGTTTATTCAGCATTATTAAAGCTTAGCTATAAATTGGAAAACAAAAAACACAATAAAAGAAACAATAACAAAAGAGCCAAAAAAAAAAAAATGAAAAGTCAAGCAGATAAATTGAAGTACATATTCGTCACAATTCCACATCCAAATAATCTTTCTAAGAATCAATCAGTTATAACATAAGGAGTTCTATGGTAATCAGGAACTTGAACTGAGTTTTCATTTATATGAAGAGAAACCACACAAGGAATAGATGAGAAAGAGGGTAGAGTACCTTTGGCTCTGGTGTTCTCCGCCTCTGAGTGGAGTTTATTGAGTTGGGCACGTAGCTGCTCTGAATTGAGGTTGGAAGCCAAGCACGCCGTGCTCATTGGAGGCCTCCGTGGGACAAATATGGTGGCTAAGGCACCACAGTTCAGTATCATCTCCCTCTCTCGAGCTTGAGCTTGAGGGAACTGTTAAAAGTTTGGGTCGCACTTTTAAGACCCGCATCCGAATGCGAATCCCTTGTTTTTTTTCCCTTATTTTGTGTTGGTAATTCGAACCTCTTAGAATGTTTTTCAAGTTGAAGAATTATGAACTAGTAATTATTAGTATTTTTATTTTGGCTATTAAGCCAACAGGAGACAAATGCCCCTTCGAATTTTTTACTCTTTCTTTCTTTTTTATATATATAGTTTTAAAATTTTCGGAAATTGCCCCCCTAATAAACAGATATGTTCTCCATGATTATTGAATTTGTGAGATTTAAGCTCTATATTTTATTTTTGTTCCATCCTATAATTTTATTCCATTACCTCCCTCTATGATTTTTTTTATGATAATTATATTGTGTACTTCTTGTTAAAATTAGTCATTTTATAAATTTATACATTTTTTTATATATATTTTGGAATGAAAGATGTTCATTTAGACGCATCTCTTCTTTTTTTTAATAATAAAAATAGCATTGCTATTAAATTCTTCATTCTTGAAATTCTTTTATTGATATTCAAGATCTTCCCACCCCTCCCAAAAATATATATTTATCTGGCTCTTGGGTCCTCCAATATTAATTTAAAGGGTTAATTTCACTGACACCCCCTCAGATTTGGCCAAATATCACCCTCAAATATCTTTCGAAAATAACTATCACTCACATCATAAATTTTTATTCCGTTTTTCACTAACACCCCAACCATTAGTTGAACAGTTCTAACACCATGTAAAACGACTTAATCGCCCTTTAAATTTGTCAAACTAACCCTTTAACTTAAAGAATTATATTAAAAGACTAAAATACTCCTAAAAAGTTAAAAATTTACAAATTATATATATATATATATATATATATACATACACAAACATATATACACATTACACACAGATATATAGAGAGAGAGAGGGGGGGGGGAGATCTTAGGCGTATCTTCAAGCCAACAAGTTGAATTTGATGTGATGGTTAGCCTTGATTTGTAACATTGATTTGAAGGGTAAGCATTTAGAATTTCTCAACATACCATTTTCCTTTCAAATATGAATTACCTAATGAATTGAGGAAAAGAATAATGAACTTCATGTAAGAAAATTCAACAATCTATAGAATACATGGTTCCAATGCATAAATCTAATAAAAGACAAACCTAAATATAGAAACTTAGTTTGAAGAGAATGACAGCGGGAACATTACTTACATCATATAAGAGACGACCTTCAACCCTCTTATCTTTTCACTGTATACCGGATGATGGATTCCAGACTTCTACGCATATATATATATATATATATATATGAAGGTTGGGACCGTTCCAGTAGACGTTAAGAGGTGTGTTGGTTCCATCAACCAACATAACTCTTCATATGTAACTCTTCAACAAAGAATCACTACTCTTAAATATATAGGTTATTATTCATACAAATATATGGATAACTAAATATTAATTAATTATTATTAGACTATTAATTTTTTTGCTTATATTCTCCCACTTAGTCTAACATAATTAATTATGATCACGTCAAGATCAAAATAATCATTGAGTGTACTACAGAAGTTAATCCATATATATATATAAGAAACACATCTTCCATCAATTTGGAGTACCTTCGAGTCTACTAATATAGGATCAAGGGCGTTATTATATTTTCAATGACATATATATCGCATATGCATATATTCAACACAATATTTATGCAATGCATCGGTCCTACCGTGTCTCAATAAGGACACACTGTGTCTCAAAACAGGATATTTAAATCACAATTTTCCATACACATGTGCACCAATATGGAAAATATTTAGTAAATGAGGATAATAAATGTGATCACAAAATAAAACTGTCTTTACTTGAACCAAGTACAACCTCCCACTAACTAAGTAAATTAATGTTGTCAAAGAGAAATATGCATGCTTACTGTACAACATTAGCGGCAAACCCTTAGTCATGGGATCAACAATGTTTTTATTATGTATCAATGTGCTCAATCAGACACTAGCTGGTTTTGAATCCTCTATTTCACAACAAGGTATTAACGGTCATATTTTAAACCAACTTGAACTCTTGTTATTTCTTTAATACAAGACTGTAGCGGAATTACTTACCTAAAGTCCAAAACTGATATTTTTAATGCATGAAATATGGCCTTATAACATGCAAATAAAATCCGTTTCTATCACTTATCATAGTAGTAAAACAATACTTGAAGTGGATTTGTATAATGTCCTAACAACCAGCAAAGTCAGTTTCTACCAATCCTATAAAGATATGGTTCTTAACTATTTGCAGATAAATTATAAATTTTTTTGCCTCTTACTATGGATCCAAACCAAGATCAATGTGATATCTGCATAGCTTTACAATAGCAAATGTTATATTATAGTTAACCATATGCAAAACCTAAGCATACATTAGGTTCCCAAAGGCATATGAAATGTCTTTTACCTAATACTGCTATAGATATTTTCTTGGTAATTGGATTATCAAATCTCTCAACTTTTACAATAAGTGCAATTCTACCTCTACAGTGTTATATGTCAAATACTTTCAAAATTTTATCTAAGTAGGTTCTTTGTGACAATCCAAGAATTTCACAAGATTCATTTCGGTGAAACTTAATGCCAATAAAAAGGTTTCACCAACATATTCATCTCAAATGTTTGAGACAAATTGATCTCATATAAAATATTGTTATAACTATCATTTACATTTAACACAAAGATGAATTTTACTCTCACTAACTTTGAGAATAACTAAAACCACACATTTACAGTTTAATTGATAGGAATGCCAACTAAAGTTTTCAGAGTTAATTAAATAATGCATCAAAACAATTAACTCTGAATGGGATCAATATAGCATGTAATAATCTTTCCTTTGGGCCAAAATTATCATATTTTAGTATCCCACTGGTGAAATAATCTTCAGGTTTGAAACTAATTAATCATAGAAAATACAATAACAACTTATACTCCTTTAGGTGTAGTGAGTCATTAATTGTGTCTTATACACTAATTACCTCAATCCGCTTAGTTGGACAAACTCAATGACCCACCTTTGGGCTTAATCATTGCTCGTCTTTACTAAACGCCAACACAATCCTTTAATTTTAACAAAATAATAATTTTTCCACTAGCTACAAATATCATTAAATTTTCACGACTGTGCCACTTTGGTGACTAAACACTCAATCAAACTTAATGACACTTGTGTTTAGAATTGAAAATATGATTCAATTTTCTCAAATGAATCAAAACATATATATACATATTATGCAACAATTTGTAATAATTTATAACATGAGGCACATGCATAATTATGTATTTAATTTCATAAACTTATATGCTATGAAACTTTAAATTAATCATTGACTGTGCCATATATATCATCAAAGATATAAAACATTCAACTAGTAATGATGATAACTTAAGAAAAATGGCATATTTATGAAAATTATTAAAGCACTAAATTAATCAGATATCAAGCCTTAAAATTTATACATGCTATAAAATAAAGAATTTCGGGACTAAAATTGAATTATGAATCTTATATCAGTCATGTAATATATATATATATATATATATATATATATATATATATATATATATATAGAATAATCTCCCATACTCTAATTGAGTTTGCTATAGGTCTATAATAGAACACATTTATGATACCATATACATGCATGATTCTTGGTGCAGAGATCATAAAGCGTACATACGGATGTATGCACCACGCATGACTATTAATGGAGAGACATGACTATTGGTCAAATACAAAAGGCATGACCTTTGATTGAAATTCATGTCTTTACGAATGAACCTATATGATTATTCATTCCAACTCCATAAGACATGACCTTTAATTGAAACTCAAAAGATATGTGAACATTTGTGACCCAAATTAAAACATGTAAGGGTACGTTGTATGGGTGGTACTGATTTATTTACAACAGTCAAAATGGTCGTGATTCTAAATATTATCGGTAGATAACCCCTCAAAACTGAAATATTAGTACATGAATGTTAAAGATTTATGTTGTTGTTTAACGTGATATATATGACACCCAAGAAATGTTGATGTCATGCACACTCCAAAATGACATTCATGTTCTTGTCCAACACATTCTTAAACAACTGTGACACTCTAACATGAATACCTAAGATGATATTCACGTTGTTGTCCAACACATTCACATTAAAACAACTATGATAACACTCGTATAAACACTATTCATATTTTTCATATTCAGTACATGCATATACATGATCTTATTATACAAATGTTTGTCCCAAAATTGTAATGACCCGGTCATTTTCCTCCCTTTCCTTTTTTTGAAATTTTATGGATAAATTTTTTCCGTTTAATTTTCTTTTCTAAGTTCTGTTTCTCGTTGTTTAGTGTCATCTCGAGTGCTCGGAAATGGTTTCTGAGACTCTTTCATTTGGATTGACAACTTCCTATGAGGACCGAGTCATTTCCACATTTTCACTTTTCGAACACTATTCGCTTTTTGTCCTTTTTCCTATTTCGTCCTTTTCCCTATTCAATCTTTACCCCGTTTGTCACTTTGTTGGCAAAACCTCACTTCTTATACTCGGAGTTGGTTTTTGACTTCACATATCTTCATTCTAAGTGGTTTCCACGAAATACATATCTTTACTTTTGTAAGAAAGTACTCTGGTTGCTCCCGGTGTCCATAGGGGCATGGATGCACAGTTCTTCATAATCTTTTTCTTTTCTTGGGGTGTTTTTCGTAAATATCTTTTGAAGAAATTTTATTTCAGGGGTTTTTAAGAAAATATTTTTGGAAGATATTTTCATTCTGGGGCATTAGTGCAGTTTTCACTTTTTGGAGGGGCCATTGTGCAATTAACACAATTCTTCAGAATCTTTTTCTTTCTTGGGGTGTTTTTTGTAAATATCTTTTGAAGATATTTTATTTCAGGGGTTTTTAAGAAAATATTTTTGGAAGATATTTTCATTCTGGGGCATTAGTGCAGTTTTCAATTTTTAGAGGGGCCATTGTGCAATTAACGAAAGTTATTGCAAAAATACCTTGTCTAGAGTC